CGGAGCGAGTCAGAACCTTATGGACTCGAATTCGGGAAAACTACAGCTTTGCCTAGAGATATACCAGCCAATGGCACTTTTTTTACTCCAGACAGTGCCCTGCGCATGCCTTGGACCCCAGCTTAGCCTGGTTCAGTCAGAACCTCTAGGGCTGAGTCTGGCCACTGGTAGCATTTTAAAGCTCCCAGCTGATGCTGAAGTGCAGCGAGGGTTGAGAATTTCTTATCTAGGGGGCATGGAGGCCTACGAGCCTTTCTCCTTTATAGAGAACATTTTCAATGGGCTTTTAACCCTGAGGTGGGGGCCCCAAACCCCACATTTAAATGAGAGAAACAGGTCTTGTCTGATGGGCGCAGCTGATAAATGCCACCTCGAGTGTGGTGGGTCGGATAAGAGATGAATGAGGGGTGAGGGGCTGGGAGAGTCGCTCTAGTGTGAGGCTTCTGCCTTATGGGGTTCACACATGGGTTCGAAAACCTCTGAATTATATGTGAAATTTTCTGTCCTGTGAATTTTTCAGAGTTCTTGTCGCATTCCCTGAAGCGCTGTTGTCCATACCACCCCCTCCAACCCCAGCGAATAACCTCTGCTTTTATCAGAGGAGACCACAGGATGGTATATAGCACAGTCATTAAAAACAGAGTAAGATGGCTTCGTATTTACATGGACCTGGAGGGGCTGAACATTCATGGTGAACGACACGCAAGCAAGTTGCAGAGTGATGTCCACAGAATGGTCTGGAAAGCTCCACAGGAGCAGGGACGGTCTGTTTTGTTCGCTGCTACATTCCCAGCACCTGGAACCAGAGCCTGGCACAGAGGAGGTGCTCGTTACGCGCTTCCCGAATCGATGAACACCTGCGTAAAGGAACCGGCTCCTCTACGCGTAGGTGATGTGTGAAAATAAGGTAAGAAGTGTGGAGTGGCACAGACCAGGACGTTAAAGGTGCTGACTTCGGGGAGAAGGGACTGGAAGGCGGGAGAGGAAGACAGTAACACTTCCTCTGAGTGACAGTCAGCAGTTACTGAGTGCTCGCTACGTGCTAGGTGCAGTGCTCGGCACTGATTGTGAATTCATCTCGTTCAGTCCACATAACGATCCTTTGAGGTGTCCTGGTATGGTGACACTCACTTTACAGAAGAGAAAACCTGAACACACAGATCTCGTCCAAGGCCACAGAGCCGGGAGCCCATGCATGCCGCACCTCTGCTCTCTGATCCCCGTCCTCACACGTGTCTGGGCAGCGCCACTCATTATAACAAGCATGTGCTGCGTTGGTCATAAGGTTCGACAGTGTCAGGCTCTCGATGCTGCTCCCCACCCCAGACCACCCTGATCTAAACGTCTGGTCCTTTACTGTTAGTAGGGGCTTCGGAATCAATGTTTCATGCTTGGATCTGGTCTTGGTGCAATATAGAGCTGACTCTAGAACAAAGTGGGATCTGGGGTGCTGACCCCCATGCAGTCAAAACTCTGCATGTAACCACATCCGAGGATTCCTAACTGCGGATCGAAAACACAGGCGATCTCGAACGACATGGGTCCACTTATACGCGAATTTTTTTCAATAAATACTTACTGAATAAAGTATAAATAAGTATTTATTGAAATTAATCATAAGTTCTTATTGAACAAATAAGATTCAACTGTAGTTCCCACTGCCTGCCCTCCACCGTTTACGGATTCGATGGAACCACAGCCTTCGGGCTTGGCCTGAAATCTTGGGGAGAGTAAGGACCTTGGACAGCAGCCGTCACAGACCGCTTTGAATAGGCCTGTATATCTGCTTAAGGTAGGCATCCTCTCATGGGTTGAAGACTCTCCAGGTTTCAGGCCCTGAGAAAGCCCAGAACCAACCTGCCTGGAGGGGTTTCGGAGCAAAGAACATCTGAGAACTTGGTACTGAGAAGCAATAAGTTCCTGCGGAGGAAGCTGTGCATGCAAGGCTGTTTTGGCCGTGGTCTGATTTCTTGGGACACCTGCAGCCAAGGATGCTACAGTAGATCGAAACCGATGAGAGCTTCCAATTGCTCTGGAGATGGACTCCCCAAAGCATGATGTCAGATCCCTGACGCCAGCACCCCCTGGATGCTTGAGGAAATGCAGATCCCTTGGATTTTTGGAACTAGCAAGACCAGAGCTGGAATCCTTACTCTACCAGCTTGAGACCCTGGGAGAATCGTTTAGGTTTGAAGTCTCAGTCTCTAGCCCTATAAATTGATGAGGATGATACTGACTTGACAGGGTAGGTTGCAAGCAATGTTAGCGGTAACGCAGGTGAAGCCCCTGCTGTGAACAGGACACAGGAAATAATCCTCATCACTTATATTAATTCTAACCATGTCGTGGTGGGCAGCTTCTAAAATAGCTCCCAACGGGCCCTGCCTCCCAGTATTCATGCCCAAGTGAGCTGCTTCTAATAAAAGTGAAAGGATGTCATTTCTGAGATCAGGTTACAAAAAGACTCTGGCCCCCAACTCGCTCACTCTCGCTCCCTCGCATTGCGAGTTGTCCTGTGCAGAAGCCCATTTGGTGAGGAATTGAGGAAGGTCAATGGGCCAGCACCCAAGAAGGAATCAATGCTCCTCAGTCCAACAGCCTGCAAGGCACTGAATCCGGCCAACAGCTGTGTAAGTGAGTTTGAAATCAGACCCTCCGCTAGTTGAGCCTTCAGATGACACTGCAGCCCCAGCCAATACCTTGCCCGCAGCCTGTCAGAGAACCTTGGCTAGAAGCACCCAGCAAAGCTATGCCTGGATTCCTGACTCATGGGAACTGTGTGGTAATAAACGTTCGGTGTTTTCAGCCACTAAATTTTAGGGTGATTTGTTACGCAGCAGCAGATCACTAATATACCCTGGAAACGAGAGATTCAATTCAACAAGAGAGTGGCATTTAAAGCCTCTCGTTAAACACTAAGTCCTCTGAGAAGCCTTTCAAAATCCCCCTCTCTGAGTTAGGGGACCCTATTTGAGACCTTACAGTCTCATTTCCTTATTAGACTGTAAGCTACTTGAGTCCAATCAGCAAAGCTGATAAGTGAGCACTTATTATTATTCCAAAGCTGTAAGTCACTTAATCTTTACAACACACCCACAAAGTATTATTATCACTCACATCTTATAGATGAAGAAACTGAGGCTCAGAGGGGTTAGGGAACTTGTCCAAGGCTTTAGTAATTATGAGGAAGTGCCAGGAAATCTGACTCCAGAATTCACATTTGTAACAATTATGCTATCATGGTTCTGATTCTTGCCCCAGTTCACAGACGGTAAGTGGATTCAAACCCAGGTGGCTGAACGCCGGAAACGAAGTTTTTAAATAGTACTCTCTCTGGGTGCCTTTTCCCTCTAGGATAGTAAGGTGAACACACCCCACCTGGGGTCATCACGGTCTGGGACACTACCTACCTGTAAACACTAGGCTGGCGTTTTCCAGTTCTTCTTGGGGAACTTTGAAGCTGAAGGATTCATTGTAGAAAGGATCGATTGTGCCTCTTAAGAAAGATGTCTTCTTTGTTTTCACAAGCTTGAGTCCATGCACCAGCTGAATTTTCACAAAGGGGTCTGAGGATGGGATACAACATCACAGAATGAAACCCAATCCATCCATCCATTCAACGTCCCATCCATCCATCCTTTAACCCTCCCTTCTTTCTTTCCTTCCTTCCTTCCACCCATCCATCCATCGACCCATCTTCCCATTTATCTGACAACCCGACCACCTACCTATTTTTCCATCTCTCCATTTCTCTATCAGTCCATCCATCTTTCCATCTATCAGTCCATCTGCCCCTCCTTTCATGCATCCATTTTCCCATCTATCCATCTATTAATTCCTCCTTTTCCCCTTCTAGCAGCTTCTGTGTTCATCCTTTCCTCTCTTCCTCCAGCCATCCGATATTTCTCGAGCTCATCCCATGCGTCAGGCATTGTGTTCATTTTATGGATCAAGGGAGTGAGGAATCAAGATGAGAAATGATTTGTTTGAGATCTGACTAGTGGAGGAAGAGCCAGACCGAGAAACTGCCCTGGCTTTCTGTCCTGGAAACCTGTTCATGTGTCAGCGAGCCCACAGCCCACACATAGGAGAACAGAGACGGCAGAATTATAACTACCGTTCTTAGATCACTTTACAGTTTACAAAGAGACTCATGCACATGATCTAACTGAATAATGTTATTATGCCAGTTTTTCAGACGGAGAAACTGAGGATTATAGAGGTTAAGTAACTTCCCCAAGCCCCATCATTTGCAAGCAGTAGAAATGGGGTTTGGTTCCAGGCAGCTTGACTCAAAAACCCTTAATCATTTTATCATGCCGATTCCCCCACTGTGGTGAGTGTGAAATTCTCCAGCCTAATATCATTCCCTCCACTGGCCTCTTCGAAACCTGTTTCTGTCGTGAGGTTTTTGAGAAGGCAAACTGTCTTCTAAATTCAGCTGTCATCTTATAGTAAAAGGAATTTACTTCAGCTATTGCATTTAGAGAAGGCGGTATTTCCACCACTGAGCTCCCAGTAACCAAGAGATCCCAGTAACCATGGCTGCTTATGATAATATCCTTTGCCGTCATGGGAGAAGCTACACACGGAAGGAATGTAACCTCTTCCATGTCATTAAAACTCATGTTTGAATTGGTTTGCTCTAAAGTAGATGCTTTAAATACAATAGTCTTTTCAGAGCTGGGACGTACAAAGATTTATGGTACACTTGAAAGGAGCTGGGAAAAAACCTTAGGGTGTATCCACCAGTTAGCTGATTAGGCTGCATCAATGCACACTACCGCCACCTGGAGGATGGTGCCTCTATTGCAGGCATAACATTTGAGAAGTCAAGTAACTTCCCAGCGGCATGAATACACAGAGGATAGAGATTTCAGTACTTATCACACCTAGTCTCTGTCCAATCCCAATTCAAATGGAGTTATGAGATGGCATCATCTACCTGCTTCGTTTTAAGAGATATCACATCATTTATTTTTCCTCTTGAACTAATAACATCCTAGTTCTGGATGCTAGCTCCCCTCAATGGGGCTTATCTTTTTTCCCCCCAATTTGTATGTTTTATTCCCATAAGGTGGCCAGGGGTAGGAGTGCCAAGCCACGAGCCAGGTGACACCAAGGAGCTTTCCCTTGGTGGGAGGGCATGCTGAGTTCTCGGGTCTGCCCCACCAGGGGGCTGGTTTCCGGGCAGGCTGTCATGGGCACCACGCGGAAGGCTTCGAGGGGCACTGGCGGTGGGCTCAGGTGAAGGATGCACACTTGTGGAGTCACAGGTGGCAGGACGGCTCCTTCTCCACGAGCAGAGGCTCTTATCCACGTGCCGCCTATCCATGCAGCCGTTCTCGTCAGTGAGGACCTTGGTGAGGTTCCACGTGATGGCATTTCTCAGGATGCCCTTCCGCTTGGGCTGGACTTTCATCCACTGCCACAGCAGGTGGCCACCGTCCCCGTTCACACACATCTTGCTGTATGTATCAAATCTGATGTTATAGCCGGCAGCAAACGCTCTGACCTTGGCCTTAGTGCCCCCGGCCCCCGCCTCCTGAACTGGTTGCTAGGATCCGTAGACCTCACTCGGCACGCTGTGTGTGCAGGTCGATGAGCCGACTGTAGCTTACGTCTATGTTGCCTTATTGCCTGGCAATGCCGGTGACGATGTACACGAAGCCCCTGTACTTGCCCAGGTTAACCATGCCCTGGGTCTTGTCTTATTAATCGTATCCAGAACGCAGAAAAAGAAAATTGGATCCAAATAAACGGATGCCCCGTTAAAAGCAATGGAGGAAGGAAGGGGCCACACCATACCTGAACCTTGGCTCACGTCTGTCTGAAGAAGCTGCTTGGCTCGAATGACATCCACGTTCAGTCTCCCAGCACTGGGGAGATAATTAAGTGACAGCAGCAGCTCCCCCAGCTCCACTTCATTCTGTAGAGAAAGGAAACGATTAGTAAGTTGCTTTTTTTCTTTTATTCTGCTCCTACGATGCCGGGAACGGATTCCGGCAGCTCACACCTGGGCTTCAGTGGGTGCATGAGTTGACCGTGGGCACCTTTTTCTTTGACTTCTTTGAGCCTCTGTCCCCAAGGATTTTCTTCTATCTCAGAAAGTTCCTTCTGCTCTCAGGACACTGAAGGGCACGACAACAAAGCAACAGCAAAAGCCTCGGCGACGAGAAAGGCCACGTCAAGTACTGCGCTAAGCGCTTTTCACGTAATAACTGGTTCGATCTTCATCACGAGTCTGAGAATTTAGTATTACTCCCATTTAAAGGATGAGGAAACTGAGGCTCAGAGGGGTTAAATATATCCCCAAGGCCGCACGGCTAGAAGTGGTAGTGCCAGCACCTGGACCCAGCTCCTCTGACTACTATGGTTAATAATTTGGATTTCTAAAGCAAGTTAGTGAGAACTCTCCTTACGAATAACATTACGCTCACTTGTTTGCATTCTTGGTTTTCTGTGTGTGTGTGTTAAGTGGTGAAGACAATGCTGGTTTCTCCCGTAGGCAGAACGGGGGTGTGCTCCGGGCTCCCTAGAAGCAGAAAATGTCCCCACTTCCACTTTAAATAAAAAAGGAGAGAAGTATCATGCTTGGCAAGAATTTGATACGTGCTATTTCAGAAATAATACTGGCAGAATCACTGTGAGGAAATTAGACCCTCCTGTGATTTATAGTGGAGAATTATTATCTTGAACGGCATGTGACGAGACACTCCATAATCTTCGGGGCTTGGGGTATCAAGGGCATACCTTAACTCAACCCTGAAGACAGTGGAGGGTCCTCACTACTTGCAGGGCCCCTGCCCCGGATGGAGTGGCACATACATCCACAGGGACATGAAAAAATGCAGCTCTCAACAAGCCGAAGGCAAAGATGTTCCTGGAGGGCTCCTGAGGCCAATGTCCCTAAAGTGTCTGATGCAACATCTAAAGGCACACCAGCAGCCAGCTGGTAAGGAACTTAGGCTACAGGAACAGAAAGCAGGACCGTCTAGTCCAGCAGCTCCCCAAGCTGACCCCCCACCCCCCTCTGAAGGGTCATGGGATTTACGGCGATCTTTGTGGACACCCATGCAGTACTGGCACATTAAGCTTACATCAACCTGGGGCAATTTTACCCACCCCGCCACCCCCAGGGGCACTGGGCAATGTCTGGAGACATTTCTGGTTGTCACAGCTGGGGAGGGGCTTGCTACTGACATCTAGTGGGCGGAGGCCAGGAATGCGGCTAACATCCTGCCCTACCCGCAACACAGAATGATCTGGCCCGACACACCAACAGTGCCGAGGTCGAGAACCCTTAACTAAGCCTGTGAACCTCGAGCTGACCCAGTCATCTCTTATACATGATCCTAGCCCGCACGAATGTTAATAGCAACCGAAGATTCCATTTTTCTCCAGACCGGAAGAGGCCAAAGCACCAGCTACGAGCCAAAGATCGAGCTATGATTTCCATCCTTCCGCTTCCTCCTCAGGGCGGGCCTGGGAGCCGGAAGCCAAGCGCCAGACACAGAGCTCCTCCCAGGACGTGGGTCTGGCTGTCCCAAAGGGAAGAGATTGCTTATTCTAGGAGGATCTCCAACTCTTCGAAGTATCCTTTAGTCAGATAAGATCATCATTTTGGAACTGGAATAATTTGGTCCAATACTCTTATGTTTATAAAAGAAAACAGAACCGAGCCATCCCTTCCTTCCCTGCTTAATATTCTCCATCCCTCAGAATGAAATACAAAATCCTTAGCCTAGTCTGCAACAGGGTCTGTCAACCCTGGCACTCCTACCGTTTGGGGCTGGGTCATCCTGTGTTGGTGGGGGGGCGGGGGGGAGGCGGGAGGGACTGTTCTGTGCACTGCAGGATGTTTAACAGCAACCCCCGTTTTTACCCACTATTTGCCAGGAGCATACCACCCCCAGTCGTGACAATCCAAAAATATCTCTAGGCATTGCCAAGAGTCTCCTGAGGGAAAAAGCGCCCAGTTGAGAATCACGGGTCTGCAAGATCTAAATAACGTGGCCCCTCTCTCCATGTCAGACCTCATCCGCCAACCACAGCTGTGTTCTTTCTGCTCCTGGAAAACACAAAACCATTTCTCGTCCTGGGGCTTGTGTCTGCTGTGCCCTCAGCTTGGGAATTTCGACTCAAATGTCACCTCCTCGTTTAAGTTTTCCACAAATGCCGAATGGAAAACAGTTCTCTGCTTCCAGTGCTTTCCATCACACCACCTTGTTTTATTTCTTCCATGGCACTTTGTCCTTATTGGATATTTTCTTGTTCTCTGCTAAGGCAAAGACAGTGTCCAAATCTCCACTATAATCATAGCACTTAGATAACTTCAATCCAGAGGGCCACGAGGACAAACTATGCAGCCCCCGACATTGTGGCTCATCGCTGCCACATCTCCGTCGGAGAGGGGTCATCAGCATGACATCTGTCACCCACCCTGTCCAACCTCAAGAGAACAGAAGTGGAGGTGGGAGTAGGGACCTCTACTGCCACTCGTTCTCTTCCAAGGCAATGTCACAAATAAACAGGCCTTGTTTCCTTTTTAAGAGCCCGATGAGCTTAATTTGGTTGAACCACGGCGGGTAGCTTGGGAGAACCAGAATAGACTGTAAATTACTCAAATGAATCCAGACACCAGCCACTCTGCAAGCTCCCAGCAGCCGGCTTGTGCGAACGCTCCGCTCTCTTCCCAGACAAAAATTCTCTCTCCCTGCAGCCTTTGAACAAAGCTAAGTTCTAATCAATAAAAAGAAAATCAAAGAAAACCATTTGGGACAAAAGGCACTTTTTGGGGAAAAACAACAGCCCGGCTCTCCTCCTGCCATACTTCCTCTTGAAGTGCTTCTAAAGGGCACACTCTCTCTGTCGCACCGAGCGGAGGGTTTCAGGTGCGTGCACACGATGACTTTTACCAGTGCCCGAGTGCAGCTGCTCCCAGCTCCCCTACCTTTGTTCTCGTGGGTTGGGAGAAACATTTTCTCTCTTCATTTACTGCACCAACATTAAAACAGGAATGCGTGGGGGGAGGGGAGCAGATGCAGCCACCATCCTAGCACTATAGACATCTCATCAAATGCTTCCTTTCCTCAGGTTCTTTTCCAGATTTATATCAGAACTAGATTTGCAGAGCTGCGCTGACCACAGAGTCGAATTTTGAAACCCTCCCCTTGCTCCTTAAACTTAAGTAGATACACATTTTCCACGTTACTACTATTTAGATATGTAAAGTATCATTTTTAATATCTGCACAGAATATTCCATTTGTCTGAAATATTTTTCCTTTTTCCTATTGCTAGGGGCTTAGATTATTTCTAACCACCCAGGGTGAGATCAAAGCATATATCATATATAAAAAATATCCAGATCTTTTTCTGCCACTCAATATGAATTGCCAGAGTGTTAGCCAAAAGGTCTGAACTTCAAGGCCACTGGCAGAGGGAGACGGAAGCGTCCCCACATCACCGGCACCGGGAATTAGCATTCTGACAAACGGGCGTGGGACCACCGTGGTTGCTAAAATATTTATTGTTTGCATTTCATTGAATACCTAGTCATATATCGATTTCAGTAGGAATGCTTGACATGCCCGTGCTGTGGCTACAATCCACATTTTTGCACTGGATTGTATCTGCCTGCTACTGTCAGGCTTTCTAATTATTCCTGTTCATGGATATCTTATTGTGGATTTAGCTTGTACTTCCCTGACTGCTTAAAAGGTTGAGCATAAATCTTTTCATATTTATCAGCTATTTATGCTTTTTCTTCTTCGAAAACCCTGTTTGTTTCATACTGCTCATTTTTTCTATTGTATTTATTTTTCTTATTAATTTACAAAAAGGCTTTTAAATATTATGGATACTACTAAATTATTCACCAGTTATGTGTTATTATGGCTTGAATTCTGTCCCCTCGAAATTTGTATGTTTAAGTTCCAATCCCTCGTATCTCAGAATGTGACCTTATTTGAAAATAGGGTCTCGGCAGATGAAATTAGTTAAGATGAGGTCACCCTGGAGGAGGGTGGCCTCTAATCCAATATGACCGGTGTCCTTAAGAAAAGGAGAAACTTGGACACAGTTTCCAGCACGCAGAGAGAATATCAAGTGAAGAGTGGACTTATGCTGCCACAAGGAGCGGCCAGAAGCAAAGGGGGAAGGTCTGGACAGCTCCTTTCTAGAACCTTCGGAGGGTGCGTGGCCCCACCAACACCCGGATCTGAGACTTCCAGCCTCCCGAACTGTGAGCCAGTCAACTTCTGTTGTTGAAGCCACGCACTTAATTTGGGGTACTGTGTTACAACCGTCCTAGCGAACTCTTACCTGCGTGTAGCGAACGTATTGTCCCAGTTTGTGGGTTGGCTTTTAATTTTTTACCGTATTTTCTGATGAGCAGAATGCCTAATTTTAACATGGTAGAATGCATGCATTTTTTTTCCCTCTACGGTTCATACTTTATGGCTTTGCTAGAAATTCTTTGCTAAAGTCACACAGATATTCTCCCTTTTCCCCCTAAAATTTAAAGTTTGGCCTTTCACATGGAAGTCCTCCGGCCGTCTGGACTTGACTTTGGCGTGACAGAAGGCTCTCCTTTCGTTTTCGAGGTGGTGGCCTTCCTTTCCACGGTCTCTCTGCCCCCCGAGGCTGTGAGCTCACTGAGGGTAGTGATCTGCTGTTACTTCAGTCCCTGTCCCCGCGTATGGGACACACCCTCGGTGAATGTTGGCCAAGAGAAAGGTTTGTTTCTATCCTTCGTAAGAAGCTACACCTTCCAGAAAGGAATTCGAGAGAAGCTCGACCTTCTGATGTCTGAGATTTTACGTGTAGACTCAATGGCCATCCAAGTTAGATCAACCTCCTTCAGAGCCACTCAAGCTTCTCGAAAGAGATATTGATTCTGTCCCAAACTGAGCTCCCAGCGTTGCAG